GGAACCATAACATTTAGCACTGATTGCCATACTTTTCCCTAAACACAGAAAGTAGACTTTAATAACTATCAGAGAAGCATAAAGGCAGACTACCCTTTCAAGTTAACCTTACTTCCTACAGGGAAGATGATACCTAAATTAATTATAATTAGGCTTAAAGAAAATAACAAATGTGGGGGAGGGGGTAAGCATTTAATAGTATTCTCATGGTTGAAGGTGATGCAATAGAAACTATAAAGAACCATACGTCAGATCTGGGTACTAGTCATGGCTCAAAGCAATAATATCCAAGCAATCTTAGTCAAGTTTAAACATTCTAAACTTCATTTCATTATCTGTATTTTTTAAAAAGAGGACAAGGGATAGAATGGAGAGGATAACTTTCAATCCAGTTTAGTACTATTAGAATCAACGCAGCCATCCTATCATATACCCAAGCATGAAACATTATCATTACTATTTTAACACTCCCTTTAATCTCCCACACAAGTACTGTCAATTCTACCTCCTTAGTCCCTTCCATCGAACCCCCTTCCTCTTTTATCTCCAACCTCCTTCTGGCTTTAGCGAAATAAGATAAAAGTCTCCTTAATTGACCTACCTACCACTACTAAATTATCTCCTTCCAATATTCTTCACACACTGTCATCAGAGTAATTAAAAACTCTGAGCAGGTTAAAAACAAACTAGCAAACCAACCAACTAACTTTCAATGGCGTGTCAATATTTTCATATGTTAAGAGCCAACCCTAATATAATTGAAACCTATATTTTAAACACTTTTCCATGATTATCTCAATAGCTTTTATGATGTGATTCCTTTCCCTTCACTGGCAATATCCTATGACTGCTGCATACCACTGTTCTTCGATCAATGAATATCCATCAAATGAAATTCTACTCGTTCTTCAAGGTTCAGTTTAAAATTTTAAATTCTCTTTCTTCTAAGATGCCAAATCCAATAGCTCAGACATAGTTTCTTCTTTCTCTGTGTTCCAAGCGCACTTTGTTTATATCTTTACTAAAGCCCTTATCACATTCTGCCTTATTTTTTCATTATCTGCTTGCCACTGTTCACCAAATGAGTAAGCACATGGATGTTGTGTCTGTGGCCAATGGATGCTTGATGAATTGGAATCAAATGAGATAATGAGTGTGACAATACTTAAAAAAAAAAATCCTGTAAATTAGTAATTACTGATGAAGATAATTTATCAAAATGGTAGTAAAAAATTAAATATCCTTAAGAAGTCCCTCAGTGAGATTAATCATATATATAAATCAAAACATCTTTCACAAAACTGAGAACTCAATTGTTTCTCCATAACAAATGGTTTCAACTTCTGAAAGTCCATTTCTGTATTCTGGAGCTAAAACATAATCTCAAAGCTTGATTAAATCTCAAAGCTTAATTACTAATTGTCCCTACACATAGGTGGGACAACAACACTTATAACAACAAAAGCATGAAACAGCAGACCTTAAAAGAACGTATATATCATCTTATGCAAACCTCTCATTTTAAAAACAAGGAGAAACAGGCATAGAGACAGAAAACATCTTGCTTGAGGTCACATATTGGCAGACAATGGGTTGGTAACTATTAAAGCCAAAGATAATATAATAAGAAAGATAGCTGATTTAATTTCAAAATAATAATTCTTCTAACAAATTAAAATAATCCTTGATTTTATATATAAGTAATCTTATTTCCAAACTACCAATATAATGATATAAATCAATTTTATGCTTTCATTTAGAGAGAGTAAGTAAAACAGGCAGTTTTCTAAATTTCTTTTCTTCAAGTCTCTTAAACCTAAATCAAAATTTTAATTTTCAGTGGCAGAGCTGGTTTTTTTCTAACATTCAATTTAAATACTTAAATATTCAGAGAAGAAATATATATTTTTCACAAAAGTAAAATTTTTTTTGTTGCTGAGAAAATAAACATACCACTTTAAGAACAAAATTTAAGATTATGCAAAAAATTAATTCCTTATGGCAGATTTTTTTTATAGTTTCTCTGAAGATAATAGTATTTCCACATTGGCTGATTTCATGAGTTGTAAAAAAATTCCACTAAAAAGTTTATATATAATTTTTATTTAATGTTTACCTTAACATTTGACTTTTTTGAGAAGTTCACCACAACTCCCCAGCCAAAGTCATCTCCTTCATTCTTCACCTGAAAAGAAAGTCAAGCAAGTTCATAATAATGTTCATATACAAAAGGCACCTATCATGCCTACATTATAGACTAAGAAAACTTTTTGAGCTACTCATTTCTAATAAAATATTTTTGCAAGATCACTGCTAAAATTAAGGAACAAGATATAAACCCTACAGGGGAAAAAAAAATGTAAAAGTTGGTAGACCATTAGAATAGAAGTAACTGGAAATCTCTCAAACTGGCAAACAATGCTAAAAATGACATGGTATATTTTTCAATGTTCTGAGAATATTTAACTGTTTTATAGCAAATGAATTCACCCAGGATTTAAAACTGCCTCATTTTAAAATAACATTTCATAAATGGAAATACTCCATATGCTACTTACAAAACTGCTTACTTTAATTGATATCCCAAAGAATGAAAACCAGCAGTAATTAAATGGCCTTCACATAAGTCCCTTAATCAGTGTCATGTGAAACAAGTGAAGAAATATAATTAGCACAGCAGGAAGCATTTTACCAAGGAAGATGTATTAGAATCTTTATCAAAAATACATTTTTAAATATTGAAATATCCAAATATTTTATGAAGAAATTATGACATACCTTTACCAAACGACCTGGTTGTAGAAATGGTAAACAGTATTTTGGTTTGTGAATATATTCTTCAATTTCTTTACCCAATTTGGCGAGCTGTTGTCTAATCTTATAATAGATGACTACACTTTCTTCATTGGGAATTACTATTTTATTATACTGTTCTTCTGACTTCTTTACCTCTGTAAATAAATAGATGTACAATCTCAAAAAATTATATACCTTACACAAATCACACCCAAGATACATCTATGTTATTCCTACTACAAGTTGTCAGTTTGCATAATTTACATTAGAAGCTTTGAGGAAAAGTCCCACAGTCAGAGATGTGGTGATTTAAATTTAAATTAATCAAAATTAAATAAAATAAAAAATTCAGTTGCTTAGCCACATTTCAAATGCTCAATAGCTGTTACGTGGCTCGTGGCAACTGTATCAGATAGCAGACATAGAACATTTCCACCATTGCAGAAAGTTATATTGGACAGTGTTGTTTTAGACCTTCTAAGTAATATGCCACTTAACTCTCAGTAAAGAACTCAGTTTGCTAATTTTATCAAGCTTCCAACACAGCCTGGGACTAGGTCTCTAAAACTTTATCAAGAGAATAAAAAGGGAACCTACAGGCTGGGAAAAAAATCTCTGGAAAGGACATATCTGATAAGGGTCTAATCGCTAAAATTTATAGAAAACTTCAACAACTCAAAAACAAAAAGACAAACAACCCAATTATAAAA